AGAGGGATCATTGCCAGAAAGGAAGCACCAGTGTATTATTTGGGACATAGGGATACCAATATAATGTTAATCATAGAACTAGGGTGTCCCTTGGACCTAACAATAGCTAGAGGTACATGATGTACCCTGGGCAATGTCTCTGAAATCCAGACACAGAGATGGAGGTATGTGGCACTGTATATCACCAATCTGTCAGTATACATAAACTCTAACTGCCCTGTTAATATGTGAGTCCTGAATCTTTGTATGGGAAGTAAGATTCAGGAGTGGTTGACAGACTGGGATAGGGATGAAAACTGTATGAGGACACTACTGCAAGACAGAGCTAATACTACTATAGTCATTTACCATGATCAGAATAAAATAGAGGAGATGGTGCATCAACCAGAGAATGGTGCTAGAGGTTATTGGTGAGCGGTGATATTTGGGCATTCCAGTAAGGCCAATGGGATTTTGAATTATTTGATACATCCCGTTGTAGTATTATGTTGTAGTATTACTCATTCTTGCTGTGGGTTTGTCATTGGTTTAGGTTTGCATGTGTTGTTTGACCCGACATTTATATAAGAAGATATCACACCTGTCTATGGAAATTGAGGGACAAATTGACAGTAAGGTCTCTTCATACAAATTAGATGCTTTGCTGCCAGTTAGGAGTCCTGAATTGCCTCTGATATGCAGAAATTGCAGTAGAGAAGGGCATACTGAGAAAGCCTGCCTAATCCTAAACCGCATATACAATGAAGGGTTAAAGGAGATTCGGAGTGGAATGCCCAATTTGGTGGGTCATATATTGTTCCTATCAAACTGTTATTAGGTTCAACATATACAGTATATGTATATATTATGATACTTTGTTGATTTGTGTGCTGTTACAGTTCAACATACATGTATTAGGTTATTAATATGGTTGGGTAAGGCCCTCCTCAATGTTCAGTATCTGACAGCTGGTTAATATATGGTTCTGAGTGTATGCTAATGAACAGTGAGTGAATGAATGCCTCTTACTTGTATGCCTCTTAATCGTCTCAGGCTGAAAAAGATGCCAGTGATAAGAAGGCACAAAATGGTGCGGTGAAAGCTGCCTCTGAAGAATGGTGATGGTGTGCCATTTAGGCACAAAACGGCATTTGTTGGAAGGTGTCACATATATATATATATATATATATATATATATATATATATAACTGGGGGCGGGGGGGGGGGTGGGGGGGGTGGTATATATATATATATATATATATATACTGCTCAAAAAGATTAAAGGAACACTTTTTAATCAGAGTATAGCATTAAGTCAATTAAACTCCTGGGATATTGATCTGGTTAGTTAAGTAGCATAGGGGGTTGTTAATCAGTTTCAGCTGCTTTGGTGTTAATGAACTTAACAACAGATACACTAGATGGGCAACAATGAGACAACCCCCAAAACAGGAATGGTTTAACAGGTGGAGGCCACTGACATTTATTTCCCTACTCATCTTTTCTGACTGTTTTTCACTAGTTTTGCATTTGGCTAGGGTCAGTGCCATTACTGGTAGCATGAGGGTGGCCTGAGGGCCTGACGTCCTTTCAGTGGGCCCTGTGCTCACTGCCCAGCGCCATAGAGCTCAATTGGACTTTGCCATTGAACAACAGAATTGGCAGATCCGCCACTGGCACCCTGTGCTTTTCACAGATGAGAGCGGGTTCACCATGAGCACATGTGACAGAAGTGAAAGGGTCTGGAGAAGCAGTGGATACCGTTATTCTGCCTGTAACATCATTTTGGTGATGAGTCAGTGATGGTCTGGGGAGGCATACCCATGGTGGGACACACAGACCTCTACAGGCGAGACAATGGCACGCTGACTGCCATTAGGTATCTGAATGAAATCCTTGGACTCATTGCCTGGGTTTCTCCTGGAGCACGACAATGCCTGGCCTCATGTGGCGAGAGTATGCAGGTAGTTCATGGAGGATGAAGGAATTGATACCATTGAATGGCCCCCACGCTAGCCTGGCCTAAATCCAATAGAAAACCTCTGGGATGTCATGTTTTGGTCCATCTAGCACCTCCGGTTGCACCTCAGATTGTTCAGGAGTTCAGTGATGCCCTGGTCCAGATGGGAGTAAATACCCAAGGAAACCATCCATTGTCTCATTAGAAGCATGCCCCGACATTGTCAGGCATGCATACAAGCATGTGAGGGCCATACAAATTACTGAGTACCATTTTGAGTTGCTGAAATGAAATTTCTGCAAAATGGACTAGTCTGCTGCATCATTTTTTCACTTTTATTTTGGAGTATTATTGAATTCAGTCCTTTGTAGGTTGATAATTTTAATTTCCATCAAACGATGGGGCATCCTTACATTTCTAACACATTACCCAGTCCATATCAGTATAGATATCCAGCATGATATTTTTTCAAAGTGTTCCTTTAATTTTTTTGAGCAGTGTATATAGGGCTCTGGCAGTGCTCTGGCAGATAACAGTCTTGCTGATGGGTTAGGGACCTTCTATGGCCTTGTCCAGCTCTCCTAGAGTAACTGCCTGTCTCCTTGAAACTCCTCCATGCTCTTGAGACTGTGCTGGGAGACACAGCAAACCTTCTGGCAATGACACGTACTGATGTGCCATCCTTGAGGAGCTGGACTGCCTGTGCAACATCTGTAGGGTCCAGGTATCGCCTCATGCTACCAGTAGTGACACTGACCCTAGCCAAATGCAAAACTAGTGAAAGACAGTCAGAAAATATGAGTAGGGAAAAAAATGTAATTGGCCTCCACATGTAAATCCTGTTTTGGGGGTTGTCTCATTGTTGCCCATCTAGTGCACCTGTTGTTAATTTCATTAACACTAAAGCAGCTGAAACTGATTAACAACCCCCTCTGCTACTTAACTGACCAGATCAATATCCCAGGAGTTTAATTGACTTAATGCTATACTCTGATTAAAAAGTGTTCCTTTAATTTTTTTGAACAGTATGTATGTATATATATATATATATATATATATATATATATATATATATATATATATATACTGCTCAACTGCAGGAGCCCTACAAAATTACCTCCAGCAGGCCACCGGTGTGAGTATCTGACCACCAAACAATCAGAAACAGACTTCATGAGGGTGGCCTGAGGACCCGACATCCTCTTGTGGGCCCTGTGCTCACTGTTCCCACAAAGTTGGGAACATGAAATTGTCCAAAATGTCTTGGTATGCTGACGCCTTAACAGTTCCCTTCACTGGAACTAAAGGGCCAAGCCCAACCCCTGAAAAACGACCCCATACCATAATTCCCCCTCCACCAAACTTTACACTTGGCAAAATGCAGTCAGGCAAGTACCGTTTTCCTGGCAATTGCCAAACCCAAACACATCCATTGGATTTCCAAAGAAGCGTGATTTGTCACTCCAGAGAATACATCTCCACTGCTCTAGAGTCCAGTGGTGGCATGCTTTACACCACTGCAGCCGATGCTTTGCATTGCATTTGATGATGTAAGGTTTGGATGCATCTGATCAGTCATCTTCAAGTGACACGCTCTGCAGTCACTTTTGCAACAGTTGTTTTCATATTCCGGGTCACAATCCTGTGCACTGTCCTTTCAATCACAGAGGCACCAGCTAAGTAGGCACCAACAATTACTAGCAGTGCAAAACTGTTACTAGCAGCACACACAGTGAATGATGAAAATCATGCTTTCCACTTGTTAGCTAGGTGTCTCATCACACAGCGGAAGCAAAAGCATGTTACATCACTTCCACTTTCAACGCAAAACTAACTTAGTCACAGTGTTACTTAATACTCACTTTTCACTTTAACACCTGAAAATCATGTAGTGTTTCCATTTTTTGTCTAACCCTAACTGTATTTCAAATATTTCTGGACTGTTGTGATCTAGTTATACCTAAGCCATCTGGACATGTCTGGGGGTAGCCTGGAATGCCAGTAAAGCATATTATTATTGTTATATTATCAGAGCTTTGATATACTAGCTAAATATAGGAACAGACAAGGTAGTCATTAGATTATTATTTAAGTAGGGGGAAGCCAAAACTGCCCCCTATTTATTTCAAGATGCCAAGTTCACAGTCTATTTGATTATGGTAAATAAACTCCAATGTACAGTATCTGTGTTTTTATCCATATTTAGGTTTATATATATAACTGTTGAGAGACCAATAATCCAAAAAGGTAGAGACTACTCCAGATTGACTCTAACATTATAATATTCTTTAAATACCCCATGCATGGACCAATACTTATTTTGAACATGCATTTATTTATTTATTTCTTCAGTGAATTGACTTTAACAACATTTTATGTGGTATTTACCAAGCTTTTTTGGCTTTTGAGGTGAATACTGCATAAAGTGATATTTAAAGTTGAACTTAACTCTCTCGATTAACATTGACTACTGTGAATACTTTTGCTGCTAGCATTAATTAATAGATAGGAAGGTATATTATACTACTTGTTTTAATTTTTTTTTACATTTCTATAATTACTTCCTAAATCCTATTGACTCTAAGTGCTGAATTTCCTGTTTTTGATTGTGGTTGCATTTCAGCTAGAGATGCACTTTTTGTCACATACCTGTATGTGGTGCCTCAGATGAAGAGAGTGGTCTACTGCATAGTTTAACCTCCCTAGTGGTCTGATTATGTCAGTATTTTTGTGCTCGAAGCGGTACATTTTTTTGCATGGAAATATGTCATTTTTTTTATTGTAGGCCTGTAATTCTTAGGTATAACTCACAGAAATCTGTCCGAACAAGAGTCTAGTAAATATCCCGGGTATGATATAATTTGAAACACTAAATCATAAATTATAATGTAATAAATAATCATAAAAAATATTAATATAATAATAAATTTAATTCAATAATATAATCAAACCAAAAACACTGACATTTGAAATATAGCGCCAAGTTCGCACATCGCTGAGCAAAGTCGCAACATCGTTTTCAGTGTCTGATGATGAATTTTCCCACAAATCATTATCAATCAATTCTGCAAGTAGTTCTAATTTACTATCGCTGTTCTCTAGCTGGTCTAAAATTGCTTTTTACCTAAAGGGACGCTTTTTAGATACCATGGACGTTTCTCAGTTTCCATGCAGAAAGAACAGTAAAAATGCAGGCAGGGCACAGGACAAAGCACTAAAAATGTATGTGAAATGGTTTGATACAGTAATGTTTTACTACGAGGTTTTAGCGTATTAAGTGAATGTCACTTTTAAAATTTTTGAATTTCCCGCCGGTTCTATCCCCCGTACGTCCCAATGTCGCAGGGAACAGAACCCGGAAAACGGATGCCAACATCAGCCGGAGGAGATGGCTGGGGAAGCTGAAGGGGGGGACATCATGGGAGCGAAGAAAAAGGTAAGCGCAGGAGGGATTGCTGGAGAAGCGCTGCAGGGTAATACCGAGTGTAGCTCGGGGTTACCGCTTTTGGTACTGAAACTTTACCCCGAGCTACACTCGGGAATACCGCCAGGGAGGTTAAGCACCCCTGGTAGGTCAGACAGGGTCTACAGGAGCAATGGTAGGTGACCAGTGCTAGGGTACAGACATGGAAGACTGAAACTTGGGAACCCTAACATCAGATGATCAGGGGTACTGCTGTTCTTATAGTCAATTGAGAGGAAGAAGGCATAAAACCATAAGCAGGCCCAGAGTCTGGAATAAAAAGTGGTCAGCAACATACAGACAGTGAGGTACAAAGCTGATGGAAAGAATTTTGGTCAAAAGTCCAGGCCAGGGTTGGTAATGTAGATTTGCAGCAAACATAGGTAGCCAAGGTTAATCTGAACGCAGGCCAGGTGGAAGCAGAGTCATAACAAGGTTAGTATCAGTTTCAGGATCGGGAACACATGAGAAAAGACTAAAAGGCCATTAGGCATTGAATCTGTGCAAAGTTCAGGTTTAAATAGACCTCTTTGTGCCAGTGGAAGTGCTAATTCACATGCTGAAGCATGTAGGTGTGCATACCATTGCTCATGAAGTTAGGATTCTATGTCTGTAAATATGTGCATATTTATGCACATGTGCATTAGCCTGATGGTTGTCGTTATGTCATTATGTTCCTGACACCATTCTTGTTGGACAAAAACTGTTGACCATGCTTTGTTTTTAAAGCTGTGCTTATAATTAATATAACTAAAAGGAAAAATTATCTTCCCTGAGACTTTGTTGCAGCCAGATAATTGACAACAAAGATATGATTAAAACATCAAATTTTATTATACAAAAAATATAAAATGTTCTTTGCAGCTTGTACCGAAAAGTCCGGCTGGTAACACAATTCTCTATGCTTCCACCCTCAGCCCTTAATCATCGTGATTCTGTACAATTAATACTTGAGGCTGTGACAGAATTTCTCCCAGGATTCCGTATTCAAACTTGAGACAAATAATAAAAGAACTAGGTTACTTGAAAGGGGCTATAGCAAAACCTGCCTCTTTAAGGCTTACAATAGAACCTTCAAATCTTACAGAGATCAGTTACTTTTTAAAAAGAAGGAAATCCCTAAACAGAACCCATGTGCATTATTATACGCTATACTAGCCAACAGTCTGAAATTAAAAGAATTTTCAAAAAAACATTGGTTCCTCCTAGTAGAGGACCCTATCATTAAACAATTCATTAGTGAGACACCAGCTATCACATTTAGGAAAGCCACTTCCTTGTAAGATAAGTTGGTACAAAGTGAAGTGAAAGGGAACAATCAAGGGGAGCCTTGCTGATACCTGTACCCCAACACATTTCCTTGTGGAAAATGCTCCTATTGTCTATACATGCTAGGTAAAAACAAACTTTTATTACATAATAGAGAGGATCACAAATTGTGACATTTCGCTAAAGGAGTAGAGCTTTCTACAAAGGAAATACAAAGCAAGAATTTTGGACATATTCACAGCATGAAAATCTGTAATCCATACCTCCCAGTAGGTAAAACATGGAGCCCTTCCACATGATCACAAAGCCTTTAGGATTAAATTCACAATGATAGACCATGTCCCTATACCACAAAGGAAGGGTGATTGGAATAAATCTCTCTTACATCTAGAACAGAGACGCATTTTTAAATTAAAAGCAACTTCTTTCCCTGGACTTAACAACACCATTACGTTTAAACTGAGGAATAGATTATCTTTCCAATCTGTCCCATCTGCTTGTCTGCTTTTTGCTCTCATATGTTTATTTTTTTATTAGGATCCTTCTTACTTAATTTCATTTTTGACATCAATATCAATAATAACTAACCTTGTGTTGTGAATGTAGCAATCAATACTGTAAGTAATGTGAATACTTTGTATACTGTAGTTAGTTTCATATTCAGTATTTTTTTATATATTTCCTTTTTGGTCTCTGTACTTTTGCTTTGACTATTTCCCCTGCTTTCCCCGTGCTCTACCCTTTTTTCTTTGTCCTCCAGCATGGATGTGGATGGCACTTGGGTCATTTCATCTGGGTGCCACCCTTTTACTAACTTCTGGTCTTGACGGACATGGCCACCAATGTACTGATATGTGGAGATATATGCACGTCCATGCTGGCGGTGTTCTCTTTTTCCAGAGGTGGCTCTCCTGCACATGCGTGTGACATTGTGGCACTGCACTTGGTGCCATCAGTTTGTCATAATTGTATTTATGGATGTGCCTCTACCTCCAGTGCTGTCTTTTGCCATTCTGCATGTGCGTGTGATGTCAAGTCTGGGATGCCATACACCATCTATTCCACTAGCAAGTGGAAGTGGCCTCCATGAGGATGCCGAGGTAGCCTAGAACTAGGTGCCATCATGAGTTCCTCATAAGTCACTGCCTCCTTGTAGCAATATCTGTTCATTCTGGAGGACCAATGACTCTTATAGTACAGCTGCAGGTAACTTGGCAGGGATGTTTTGTACTTTTTCAAGGCTCAGTTTTATTTCTTTATTGATATATATTTCTATTTATCTTATTGATCACTTACTGATTTTCTACTTAGATTTAAGATCTTTTGCCAGAATACTTGGTGCGGTGGCCCTACTGTATCCATTAATACTCCAAAAGACACGGTTAGATATACATATGCTTTTTCACTGATTCTCTGACATAGGCTTTGATTTTTCATTAGTGCTTAGAGTCTATGATAAAGCACATTTTCCCTCTCTTTTTGTGTAGATTTTGATGCAGGTTGGGGCTCCCTTTGGCCAGATATGATGTTCCATCCTAGCTCCCTGTGGGTTTTTGGCCAGTGTGCTCTGAGGGCAAGGGTACTCCAGGTCAAATTTCAAAAAGCACATGACATCTTGTATTATCTACTCTGGCTATTTCTGTAATTGCCATATATTGTTAGTTATGACAAAAATACTTTGTCTCAAATGTTCTTTTCTACATACTTCTATATATTTCTCTGCTTACTTGTTTAGACACTTTCACCACCTCCCCTGATGAAGAATACTTGATAATCGAAAAGCATTGGAATCATTGTGGTATACAGGAATATTGTCTCATATACATGGATGCTGTCTATATAGACTGTCAAAATGGTGTTACATTTACATGTATAGAAACCAGAGTTTTTATTAACAAAGAACTTTTTATGTTTTTGTATAATACAATTTAATATTTTTTTCATATTTTCCATGGTTGTCAATTATCTGGCTGCAACAAAGTCCCAGGAGAGATGATATTTTCCTTTTCTTTCTATATTGAGGGATGGAGCAGCGTTGAACTCTTAGGCAACTGACCTATTTTTTTGCATTTATAATTCATATAACTTAACAAATTATTTCACCAGTTTAATAGGCCAAGATGATCAGTTAGGTTCAATATGTTATAGAGATAGGCAATAGATCTATTGTTTTTATGAGAACTCAGTATAGATTGGTCCATGGATCTGCTGCCTATGGCATACATATGTTAAAACATTTTGAATATTTTGATGTTGCATAATAAGTGAAATATTACAATGCTCACATGATTGTATTAATAATAGAATAATAATAGCCAATTGTTTCCATTATTGACTGATTGGCTTTATTATATCCACAGTTAAAACTGGATGATGACTCTTGTTCTTGTTTCAGCTTGAGTACCTCTCATTTTCCTCATGCTATCCAAATACAACCTTCAGAAGTTTATTCTCATCTTGCTTTGTACTAGTCACTAGCTATATTGCTTGTAAAATTGATCATGACGGAAGTGGTAGCTGAAGACTGAGCTCCAAATGTAAAGAAATCTGAGATGTAAGAGAATATACAGTATATGACAATTCCCATTGTTCCCAATGTTATCAGTGCTGTAATGAGACGGAGTTGGAAGAAGAATATATAATTTAGGACAGTTGTTATTGGTAATGTTAGTAATTACATTAATCCAGGTACACATGACAAATCTAGACATGTTTAGCATTCTACTCTTCTTCACGTTTGAGCAGATCATGATTTGAGTGGATTTTTTCATGCTTCAGAAAAGGATACTGAATTAAGCAATTATCAGTCTACCTCATGCACCTAAATGTTCTTCAGTTTTTGTCAGGAAATTTGCTCAAACTTTCTTCTTAGGATGATTTTAAGTTTGATATAAACATTTTTGGCCACTGCACCATGCTAAAGTAGCTGCTAAAAGTGGTAAACTGAATTTTATTATCACCAGTAGACATATTACCATTTCTGAAAATAGATACGGAATTTAGACCACTGCACACCTCTCTACTGTAACTTAATATCAACTCAGTGAGTTGAAATGAATTAACAAAGAAGCAATAAAGATAGATGTGTTGTGGTTTAACTTAGAAGAAAAAATAAAAAAACGAACAATAAACATAAATATCCTAAAACAATAAAATAAGGATAACAAAAAGTGTGTATATAACCTATCCCTTATTATGGAAGGATTGTTCATAAACAGGTGTTTTTATGATAATTTTGTATGTACAATCCTTTATGTTCGATTTTTTTGTATTGATATACGTTATAGTTAGTGCTGCACTAGATAAAGAAAAGTTTATATAATTTTACCTATGTTTTTAGTGGATACAAGAGCTGGTCAGGTAAAGAACTCCTGCATACTGTAACTAGGAGGGAGGTTTGAGGGTGGGGGACTAACTATGTTTAGTGTTACACCCTAAATACAGGGGTAGATTTACTAAAACTGGATTTTGCAAAATGTGGTGCAGTTGTGCATGATAACCAGACATCTAATTTCAGCTTGTTCAATTAAGCTTTGACAATAAAACCTGGAAGCTGATTAGTTTCTATGCAGAGCTGCACCAGATTTTGTACCATGCACTTTTAGTAAAAAATCCTCTCAATTATCTTACATGTCCATTGACATTTTAATTTGACCCAGTGCCACAAGAAAAACACAACTTTATA